GTCTGCTGTAGTAATGCTGCAGTTTGGTGCCTCTTGAAATGCTACAGAATCCTGGAATTTGTTGTTTGGTGAAGCACCAACACTGTTTGGCAGAGAAGGTTAAATAAAGGCTTTGTAGAACAACAACGCTAAGGGTTCTATAGATGGAGTTGTGCCAATGAAAGGGTAGATCAGGCATGAGCAAATTTTGGCTCTCCAGGTGTTTTGGACTCCAACTCCCACCATTCCTAACAGCCTCAGGCCCCTTCCTTTTCCCCCTCAGCCGCTTAAGCGGCTGAGGGGGAAAAGGAAGGGGCCTGAGGCTGTTAGGAATGGTGGGAGTTGGAGTCCAAAACAACTGGATGGTCAAAATTTGCCCATGCCTGCAGTAGATGCACAAACACTCCATCAGTTCGGAAGCAGTATATTTGCCCTCTGTTTTGTATTCTTCCTGTTGTTTCTCTCATTTGTTGTCATTCTGCTTTGTTTTTATGGTTGCGTTAATCGTTGAGCTGCTCATTTCTGTGATTTTTATTGATGTGTTTTTCTGTCCTGTTTTCTATAGTGTTTAAAAATCTCTGTAGTTCGGTGCTTTTTTATTGTATTTGCATTGGATTGTTCATGATCTTGCCTTGAGCAGCGTTTTCTTTCCGAATGTCAGGAGACCCATTTGCAGAATGTCAGGAGACAAATTTGCAAATTAAATAATTTGATATATTTTGGAAACTCATTGGAAGAGGGAGCGATATCGTTGCTGTAGAAATACATGGGCAACACATCTCAACTTCAGAAATGTGTTGAGTAAATGAAGTTGCTTTGCCCTGACGATCTTCGCTGTCTCATGTTGTCCATTTGGAATATGTGCATGCTTGGACTGCACCTCCCAGAATCCCCATTGTCCCCACTTACTTACGGATCCTGGGAATTGTTGTCCAAAAAAGTAACATTTCCAAGCTTAAGTTCTGGCTAGCAAGAATGCATCCTTCCATCCATTTATTGATTGATTGATTGATTCAATGCCACATAGCAATAACAACATACCCCATCCAACTATAAAACAATTAAAACACATGAGCAAATAAAACACATAGAACCATAATATAGATTAAAACATAAAGCTGTTGATTCCATTGATCCATAATCTAGTTCAGACTGTATCGAAATCTGTAATGTCTTAGTCTCCAGATGCCTCTCGCACCAAGTATCCAAAAAGCGAAGGAAGATGTGAGGTCTGGCAGCAACGGCCACAAAGCAAAGAGGGGAAGGAATCATCGAATCATAGAATCAAAGAGTTGGAAGAGACCTCATGGGCCATCCAGTCCAACCTCTTGCCAAGAAGCAGGAATATTGCATTCAAATCACCCCTGACAGATGGCCATCCAGCCTCTGTTTAAAAGCTTCCAAAAAAGGAGCCTCCACCACACTCCGGGGCAGAGAGTTCCACTGCTGAACGGCTCTCACAATCAGGAAGTTCTTCCTCATGTTCAGATGGAATCTCCTTTCTTGTAGTTTGAAGCCATTTTCCGCGTCCCAGTCTCCAAGGAAGCAGAAAACAAGCTTGCTCCTCCTCCCTGTGGCTTCCTCTCACATATTTATACATGGCTATCATATCTCCTCTCAGCCTTCTCTTCTTCAGGCTAAACATGCCCAGCTCCTTAAGCCGCTCCTCATAGGGCTTGTTCTCCAGACCCTTGATCATTTTAGTCGCCTCCTCTGGACACATTCAGCTTGTCAATATCTCTCTTGAATTGTGGTGCCCAGAATTGGACACAATATTCCAGGTGTGGTCTAACCAAAGCAGAATAGAGGGGGTAGCATGACTTCCCTAGATCTAGACACTATGCTCCTATTGATGCAGGCCAAAATCCCATTGGCTTTTTTTGCTGCCACATCACATTGTGGGCTCATGTTTAGCTTGTTGTCCACAAGGACTCCAAGATCTTTTTCACACGTACTGCTCTCGAGCCAGGTGTCCATTTAACCAATTACTGATCCAATTACAGAAGTCAATGGCAAGCTATTAATGAGTCTTTGGATAGATGGGGTGTGCTCTAGGGATGGAAAGGGTGTGTTCCATTACACTATGAAACAAAATTTGAAACATTATCTGTTCCTGGTTTGAAAGTATTGTTTCCTGTTTAATTGTGTAGTACTTGCTTTGAAAGTAGTTGTTCTACCCCAGAAACTTTGTTTTTGTGGCCACAAACTAGGTTGAATTGGTTGAGACTTGATGAGATATTATTTGAAAAACTAGAACGAAATGTGCAACAGGATGTCACTCAGAATCAATGTTTTTGCAGTTTAATTAACCTTTTCGATGTTTTTGTGATAGAACCAATTAGGAAATGACATTTATAATGCAGGAACAAAATTTGTGTTACATAGTGTTATTTGTTTCCCTTTCCTCAATTTCAGCACAGCTTTCTTCTAATATTCAATTATCCCAAAGTTTTCTGTTATTTCTGCAGAAAACATGTAGTTCATATAGAAGAAATACAGTATATATACGAAGCAAACAATTTATTATAGATACATTATATAACAAACCTCTGCACACACGGGAAAATCGTGACATCAATAGGTGAGTGCTGAATAGCTAAATACAGGTTGAATATCTCTTATTGAAAATCTTAGGATCAGAAGTGTTTTGAATTTGAGTGTTTTTAAATTTTGGAATACTTTTACTTTCATATTGTGTACATAACAAGATGTTCTTGGAGGTGGAACTCAAGGCAAAACATGAGGTTCAATTGTTTCATATATACATTGCATACGAGGGTTGAATGAAAAGTAATGCCTCCACTTTCGTTACTTGGGTTTGGAGGGGAATATTTTAATAAATCAAACGCAGAAATAATCCTTAGAATGTGCTCTTTAACTACCACTATTCACTTTTCCACACAATCACCAGACAATTGGATACATTTCTGTCAACGATGAACAAGTTTTCTGAAGCCATCACGGAAGAAATCGGAGCCCCCGTGGTGCAGTGGGTTAAACGTTTAAACGGTTTAAACGGTTAAACGTGCCTCCACGTTTTCTCCCTCTATTTCCAGTTGTCAATCATTCTTGTTTCCATAATCTTGGTCTTTTTGATGTTTAGCTGTGACCCAGCTTTTGCGCTTTCTTCTTTCACCTTGATTAGAAGGCTCCTCAGCTCGTCCTCGCTTTCGGCCATCAAAGTGGTGTCATCTGCATATCTAAGGTTGTTAAGGTTTCTTCTAGCAATTTTCACCCCAGCCTTGGATTCGTCAAGCCTCGCACATCGCATGATGTGTGTTCTACATACAAGTTCAATCAGCCTGGTGGAGCCCCTGGTGGCGCAGTGGGTTAAACCCCTGTGCCGGCAGGACTGAAGACCGACAGGTCGCAGGTTCGAATCCAGGGAGAGGCGGATGAGCTCCCTCTATCAACTCCAGCTCCTCATGCGGGGACATGAAAGAAGCCTCCCACAAGGATGATAAAAACATCAAATCATCCGGGCATCCCCTGGGCAACGTCCTTGCAGACGGCCAATTCTCTCACACCAGAAGCGACTTGCAGTTTCTCAAGTCACTCTTGACATGACAAAAAAAAATGGAAGAAGTAAACACTGTGTTCCCGCAACCCATCGTGCACAGACCTTCTGATAGCTAAGCAAAGCAATAATGTCACCCACATGTTTTTGTGAAATGCCGATTATGCTTGAAATTTCTCTGATACGACAAATGTCTTGAATCAATCTGTCAACCTTTTGCTTCTGAAACTCAGTGGTTGCTGTCACAGGACGTCCAACTCTTTGTTTATCAGATGTTCCCACCTCAACATCTTTAAACCTTCTCACCCAACGACGCACAGTACTCACATCAACACAATCACCACAAACAGCTTGCAATCCCTGATGAATCTCCTTTGGGGTGACACCTTCTGCTGTCAAGAATTCAATGACTGCACGTTGCTTAAGTTGCATTGACCGACTGTCTGCGCAGGGTTCCATACTTTGCACTTTAACAGCACAATCTTTCAATGCTAAGGCTTCCTGCCAAAATGAAACTGTAGAGGAGAGTCTACTGAACAAACCAGTACCTTGTGACAGCGTAAGTGGTGCCACCTATGTGTAGAACTGTTAGTTGCAATATTTAAACTTGTATTATGCTTAATCCTGTCTTTTTACCCTGCCTATTAGGCCTGGGTAACAACGGAAAAATTTGTTTCTAATATCGTTTCGTTTTTAGGGTGCCTCAGCGTTTTGTATTTAAAAATATATCCGAAATTTTCCATAAAAAAAAGTTTGGTATTTACGAAATTTCGTTAATATTTACAAAACGTTTTGTAAAGATGGCGCCCGCGGTTGCGCATGCGCAAAGCATCAACGAAATTTTTTTCAATATTTTTTCAATATTTTTTAATTTAATTATTAATTTTTTTTAATAATAAAAAATATTTGGCAGAAAATGCTTGCCAAAAAGAGCCACAGGGCAAACAGACTGAGCCTCCCCGCTGCTCCCAGCTCCGTCCCACCCTCCTGAGTCCTGCGGGCTCTCTCTCTCTCTCTCTCTTTCTCTCTCCACCAAGAGGAGGGAAAGGAGAAGAAAGAAAAGAGGAAGGGAAAGGAGGGAAGGCAGGCACTCACTCTGGCGGGCCCTCAAGCGCTGCCGCCGAGTCGGGCCCGGCTCCTCCGAAGCACACCCACCGCAAAGGTGAGGAAGGAGGGACGGGGCCGCCTTCCCGCTGAGGGTCGCTCGCCCTCTCGCTCGCTTGCTCAGCCGGCGCCTTCCCCGCCCTCTCCTCCTCCTCCTCCTCTTTCAGGCTCTGACTGGCTAAGGAGAGGAGAGAGAGGAGAGCTCCCAGCAAGCATCTAGCCATCTTACGTATTTCCGAAATGGACGGAAATACAAAAATATTTGGCGCATGCTGTTTCGATTTTGAAAATACACTTCCGGGTTTGGAAAAAAGTTTGATATCGTTTCGTATATGGGAAATTAACGGGGGAAAAAACGATATACAAAATTAACGAACGAAACCGCCCAGCCCTACTGCCTATGTATAGTTGGATTGATTGGTTATTTATAGCTGTCAATCAATGTTGTTTGCACCAGTTGAATTGCTTTCTCAGCTCAATTGTTTGGCTCCACCTCTTCCTGGAGGAGGGGAGTGCTTCCCTTTTTCATTCCACCATTAGATTTTCTACCAGATGGACGTGAGTAAGAGACTTGGCTCTAAAAGCCCCTGATTAAATTACCTCTCAGCACCAATTCTGAGGTTCTTACCCTTGAGACTTATGCTTCATGTTCAGACCAACCTGAACAACATTGGGAAGTCTCAAGCACCTTCAAACCAGTTCTTTTGGCACCAGAGGAAGAATTTGTGTCTTCAAACATAGGCCATTTGGACTGGGGTTGTGGATTGCTCCGGCATTTACAGCCATTGAGAAAGAGCTTCTCAGCTGCAAAACTCCTTGGACCCAAGACAACCAGAGATTGTAATCTACATTTTCCTTCACCCCTTTGAAACTTCCAGCTTATTGCCTTAAAGAGATAACTCTTTGTGAACAATAAAACTTATTTTGAGTTATCTACAGTGTTTGGGTCTTTGAGAGTTCCAGTTTCCTAAAGGAGGGCAAGAAGCAATCCCCTGGTGGAAAGATGTCACGTCCATGCCTCTTTCACTAAGAGTTATAGCCCCCAGGTGTGACGGCACATACCTGCCACATACCAGTACTGCCATCTGTTAAGGAGTTACAAAGGTGGAGGCATTACTTTTCATTCAACCCTTGTACATAATCTGAAGGTTATTTCATAAAACTTTTAAAATAATTTTGTTCATGGAAGAAAGTTTGTGTGCACTGAACCATCAGAAAGCAAAGGTGTCTCAGCCACCCAGGTGAACAGTTTTGGATTTTAGAGTACTTCAGATTTCAGAATTATAAATACACCAGCAAAACGGTGGCAACAGCCCCAAGAAGGCAAGCCACCAGTACTGATATGCTGTTGGCTTAGGAGGCCACGTGAATTGCAAGGTGGCTTCAAGACAGTTCTTTGCTGATACATGTCAATACTGTGTGTACAAGGCAGCTCCGCAGTAAACATCAGCTTAAAGAAGAAGGACTTGCAGAACAATGCAGCTCCAGGTCAGAGATCCACCAAACCCTCAAAATTCATTTGTGAAGTCAGTTTCTCTTAATCCTGCAGAAGGTCAACCCCACTGGCCCCATGACTAGAGTCTTAGGGCAGGTATCGTTTAGGATCCCCAGGGAAGGGTAGTTCAGGAGCCTGGTTGAAGCGAGCCATCAAGAAGACGCCTATGGTTCCAAAAACAAAGATGGAAGCCATGATGAGGAAGCAGACGCGGTCAATGACTCTTCCCACCAGGATCCACTCCTCGTTCTCCTGGAAGGAGAAAAAAAACCAGATGGGTTGCATGCCCAAAACGTTTTAAAAAGTGGTAAAGTATACCACATTTTATATAATCATCGTGGGCTGAATGCATTGCAACACATTTTGTATTTGGACAAATCTTTGGCTTTTCTAGAGACACCTCTTCTTCCCATTCTATCCCTTTGATGTAGAACATGAAGGACTGTGTGGCTGGTTCTTGGGTTCTTTTATTACTGCAAAAAGGGTTACACTGCAACTTAGCAAAAAATATTCACTATCTATTATTCAATGGTCCCTGATGGCACAGCAGGTTAAACCGCTGAGCGGCTGAATTTGCTGACTGACAAGTTGGTGGTTCGAATCCGGGGAGCGGGGTGAGCTCCCACTGTTAGCCCAGCTGCTGCGAACCTAGCTGTTCTAAAACATGCAAGTGTAAATAGATCAATGGCTACCACTTCTGCGGGAAGGTAACTGCGCTCCATGCAGTCATGCTGGCCACATGACCTAGGAGGTGTCTACAGACAACGCCAGCTCTTTGGCTTAGAAATGGAGATGAGCCCCCCCCCCCGAGTTGGACATGACTAGACTTAATGTTTACTTTTACCGTATCATTCAATAGTCAGACCTTCCAGCTTCCTCTGCCCCCTGAATATGCATTTTGTGGATACTAATGTCCAGAATAAGTCCTGAAGTGCAAACAGACTTCCAAAACAACACCATTTTCAAAGATCTCCTTCCTGAAATTGTATTTGTTTCTTCCTTTGGAAATGAAATGATGAAAGAATGACATTTTTGACTTCCTGATCTGTTGATTAACAATATTCAATATCTCTGACCGGCATGCTGCCTAGGGATTATTGGTGGTGTAATCTAACCTGTTTAGGCAAGGTGCACCAGGTGTAGAAGACTGCTCTAAAGCTTCTTAGTTTCCCATTTTATGTTTCACTCACTGATCTTTTCAAAACAAATTCATATTCTGAGACTGGGCAATACACTGATATTAAGCCTAGTCGTGTCTGACTCCGGGTGGTGGTGTTTATCTCCATTTCTAAGCTGAAGAGCTGGCATTATCCATAGACACCTCCAAGGTCATGTGGCCAGCATGACTTCATGGAGTGCTGTTACCTTCCCGCCAAGGCGATACCTATTGATCTACTCACATTTACATGTTTTCGAACTGCTAGGGTGGCAGAAGTTGGGCCTAACAATGGGAGCTCACCCCACTCCCCAGATTTAAACACCAACCTTTCAGTCAGCAGGTTCAGCAGCTCAGTGGTTTAATCTGCTGCACCACCAGGGAGCTCATGAGCAATACACTCCTGTGTTACATACAGACATACAAATACACGGAGTGTTTCTAAGTACTTGGTAGCTCATCCAAACGTCTTGAAGCTGTATCTCTGAGTCCCCTTCGGGGTGAGAAGGGTGGCCTATAAATGTCGTAAATAAATAAAAAATTAGAAAGGGATTATGGTTTGAAAGATATCCCACAGCTGCCTATGGTGCCCATCTCCTTCGCATTTGCATATAATTGCTCAACACTCCAAGACTGACATAGACAATCTAGGTTGGTACTTACGCTGTCAAACTCATTCTTCTCTTTCAAAGTCTTGGTGATGTGGTTGCAGGCATCCACACAGGCCTGGATTTCTGGCGCAGCGTGGCGTAGGCTGCTGCAAAAGTCCTGAGGGCATCCATTCTCTATACCATCTCCTAAACAGAAAGGCATATTCTGTACCTAACGTGTATTGCAAAAATGTTATAGTAGGTGTTTGTCAACAGTAGCCCCAACTCCAGCAACACTGCTATCTGACAGCAGCAGATTGTAAGAATGAAAAAGTGAAAAGCAGGGGATGTTTTCAACATTATAACTGAGTGTAGTAAAAAAAATTTCCCCTCCATCCTGATTACAATGTCTTGTTTGTTTTATGTCTGCATATAATGGTCACAATTGTGTGCAATCCAGTGCAGTATAGTTGTTCTCGGCACAGAACTAAGAATGTTATTTCATGAGGCAACCAACCTAACACAGAGAAGCCATTGAAACGCACAAGCATGTGGACAATTTCAACAGAAAGGAGGAAACCATGAAAATGATCAAAATCTGGCTACCAGTATTAAAAAACTCAAAAATTACAAGAGCAAATCAACAGAGAGGAAACAAACAAGGACATCTAATCACCTCTCAACAAAAGTTTGCTCCAGGCAATGTGAGGCCATTATATGCTAATCAAGGTGGTCAGTTGAAAAATTCACACCTAGCTCCAGCAGACAAGAGTCCTTTGTCCCACCCTGGTCATTCCACAGATATATAAACCCTTTTTCCTAGTTCCAACAGACCTCACTACCTCTGAGGATGCTTGCCATAGATGCAGGCGAAACGTCAGGAGAGAATGCCTCTAGACCATGGCCATATAGCCCGAAAAAACCTACAACCCAACCTAACATTGCAGCTGAACCCTTGGTGATGGTCCCTATTACACAACATAATGTGCATCCTGCAATTGGTTTGCCTCCTTCTCCATACGATTCCCCTATCCTTGGCTATTGAAGGACAAAACCTTTCCATCATTCCCAATCCTGCTCCATCCCATCACCTACCATGAAGTGATGGGTCCCTTCCACTTTTGTACCAAGATGATGACACTAATGTGATGCTGGGATTCTCCTCCTCTCCTTTCCCTTCTTTCCACCTTGCCATTTCAAAACCATGGCCTGCAATTTGCCCACTCCTTTCCTAGACCCAAGCCTGCTCCAAGCAACACACTTGTCCAACTCACCTATCTTTGCCAGGAGGAGCTTCATCAATCCATCTCTCTCTTTCTGCCTCTCGAAGAGGAGCTCACTCCGCGCCTTCCACAGCATGTACTCATCAGCTTTCGCCATGAGCCCCAGCGAGCTCCGTCGACGGAGGAGTTGTGCCCCCATAGGCATGTTATTGGGCCGTCGTGTGTGCATGCCTAAGAAATTGGGCACAAGGTGCAGAAACACCTGGGGAAGAAGGAGCAGAAACAAGGTTGTGGGAGAAATTACTGTCGTACTACTATTCCTGGGATGACCCTAAGTCAAACCTATTGCTGAGGTATCTTGGCAAGGTTTGGTCAGAGGGAGACTGAGAGAATTTAAATTTTTCTGAGGCTGAGAGAATTTCATTTGAACAAAGTCACCAGGTGAGTTTATATGGTTAAACAGGGACTCAAACCTGCTTAACCAGAGTCATAGTCTAGTGTTCAGACCACCACACAACACCAACTCTTCCTAGTGCACTATGGCACATGCTACTTTTTAGAGGTTGATAGGAAAGTATTTCTAGGCACAAAGATGAGTGCAGATGCAGACTGTGGCCAGGAAATCAGAAGACGCTTCCTTCTTGGGAGGAGAGCAATGTCCAGTCTCGATAAAATAGTAAAGAGCAGAGACATCACACTGGCAACAAAGATCCGCCTAGTCAAAGCCATGGTATTCCCTGTAGTAACCTACGGATGTGAGAGCTGGACCTTAGGGAAGGCTGAGCGAAGGAAGAGAGATGCCTTTGAGCTGTGGTGTTGGAGGAAAGTTCTGAGAGTGCCTTGGACTGCGAGAAGATCCAACCAGTCCATCCTCCAGGAAATAAAGCCCGACTGCTCATTGGAGGGAAGGATACTAGAGACAAAGTTGAAGTACTTTGGCCACATCATGAGGAGACAGCAAAGCCTAGAGAAGACAATGATGCTGGGGAAAGTGGAAGGCAAAAGGAAGAGGGGCCAACCAAGGGCAAGAGGGATGGATGGCATCCTTGAAGTGACTGGACTGACCTTGAGGGAGCTGGGGTGGTGACAGCCGACAGGGAACTCTGGCGTGGGCTGGTCCATGAGGTCACAAAGAGTAGGAGACGACTGAACAAATGAACAACAACAAACTGTCCATACATAGCACTGCCATCATCCTCTTTTTCCTGCATTCATCAACATAGGGAAAAAGCAACAGATGGAGCCCCTGTTGCAAGCATGACATTCCTAGGACCTTATCACATTAGGAAAGACTCTATTTCTGAGACTGCTTGAGAATGATTGCAAACGGGTCCCATCACATGATGTTTGCTACATCCCATCAGTATTCCATCAGAATCGATCTGCAAAGTGCCTCAGAAATGGAGTATTCGCAAGGGGAATACTAATCATGGTTTTTGAAATACTACGGATTCTTCCATTGCTGAAGCTCTGTTTTTGTGTGTGATAGGAAAATCTGTATGCATCCCATCAACAATTATACTTTTGAAAAAAGTCATAGAGTATTGTCGAAGGCTTTCATGGCTGGAATCACTGGGTCGTTGTAGGTTTTTTCGGGCTATATGGCCATGTTCCTGACATTTCGCCTGCATCTATGGCAAGCATCCTCAGAGGTAGTGAGGTCTGTTGGAACTAGGAAAAAGGGTTTATATATCTGTGGAATGACCAGGGTGAGACAAAGGACTCTTGTCTGCTGGAGCTAGGTGTGAATGTTTACATACACAAGCACGTGGACAATTTCAACAGAAAGGAGGAAACCATGAAAATGAACAAAATCTGGCTACCAGTATTAAAAAACTGTAAAATTACATCAGCAAAACAGCAGAGAGGAAACAAAGAAGGACATTTAATCCCCTCCCAACATAAGTTTGCTCTAGGCACTGTCAGGCCATTATATGCTAATCAAGGTGGTCAGTTGAAACATTCCCACCTAGCTCCAGCAGGCAAGAGGCCTTTGTCCCACCCTGGTAATTCCACAGATATATAAACCCTTTTTCTTAGTTCCAACAGGCCTCACTACCTCTGAGGATGCTTGCCATAGATGCAGGTGAAACATCAGGAGAGAATGCCTCTAGATCATGGCCATATAGCCCGAAAAAAACTACAACAACCCATGTCATAGAGTGATTGTAGCATGTTTTGAATGCATGAGAGGAGCCAGCCTTCCATGTTGAGATGAGTAAAAACACAGTATTTTCGATTCATAAGAATCATAATAATCAGGTGTGATGAGGAGAATATGCATCCAGTCCTTTAAAAAAATATGGGAAGCATACTGGTATAAATGGATTATATCCCAATGTGATAAGGTTCCTAGACAGCCAGGAAAGTCCCTGACCACTGTGGGCATCTCATATTAACATCAGCAGACATCGTTCTCTGGACCTACCTGCCGGACTCGCTTGGACATAGAATGGGTATTGGGGGTCCTCAGAGAAACATTGAGTACAATAACAGCATTCACGACTATAGCTATGGTGACCACCAGTAGGAAAGTTAAATACCTACAGAAAAGAAATAAGGAGACGCTAATCAGTTGGCATCACTTAATCTTTGATTACACACAGGAACAACAACCCATGAATTCATGTTTGAAATCAGAGATCAATGTCTCCAATCCACAGGCTTAAGTCTCACGACTACTATGGTCTTCTCATCTCAAGATGGATGTCTTCCTTGATGTACTGACTTTTTCTGTGTTGTTGAATGCTTTTTCAATCGTGTGATGCCCCTTCACTTTTATTGCAAGCAACGGCATTGTCTCGGATGGTTCAAGATTGGGAAAGGCGTGTGGCAGGGTTGTATACTCTCACCCGACCTATTCAACTTGTATGCAGAACCCATCATGCGATGTGTGGGGCTTGACAAATGCAAGGCTGGGGTTAAAATTTCCGGAAAAAACATTAACAACCTTAGATATGCAGATGATACCACTTTGATGGCTGAAAGTGAGGAGGAACTGAGGAGCCTTCTCACCAAGGTGAAAGAAGAAAGGGCAAAAGCTGGGTTGCAGCTAAGTATGTACACACACACACACAAACACACACACACAACCAGACTGACTGATAACTGGCAAATAGAGGGAGAAAATGTGGAGGCCGTGACAGACTTTTTATTTCTAGGTGCAAAGATGACTGCAGACGCAGACTCCAGCCAGGAAATCAGAAGACGATTCCTTCTTGGAAGGAGAGCAACGACCAGTCTCGATAAAATAGTGAAGAGTAGAGACATCACACTGGCAAACAAGATCCGCATAGTTAAAGCAATGGTATTCCCCGTAGTGGAGCCCTCGGTGGCGCAGTGGGTTAAAGCGCTGACCTGCTGAGCCTGTTGACCGAAAGGTCACAGGTTCAAATCCGGGGAGTGGCATGAGCTTCCGCTGTCAGCCCCAGCTTCTGCCAACCTAACAGTTCGGAAACATGCAAATGTGAGTAGATCAATAGGTACCACTCTGGCGGGAAGGTAATGGCGCTCCATGCAGTCATGCCAGCCACATGACCTTGGAGGTGTCCACAGACATTTCTTCGGCTTAGAAATGGAGATGAGCCCCACATCCTGGAGTCGGACACAGCTGGACTTCATGTCAGGGGAAAACCTTTACCTTTTAGAGACGTCACACTGGCAACGAAGATCCGCATAGTTAAAGCAATGGTATTCCCCATAGTAACCTACAAATGTGAGAGCTGGACCGTAGGGAAGGCTGAGCAAACGAAGATATATGCTTTTGAACTGTGGTGTTGGAGGGAAGTTCTGATAGTGCCTTGGACAGCGAGAAGATCCAACCAGTCCATACTTCAGAAAAGAAAGCCCGGCTGCTCATTGGAGGGAAGGATATTAGGAGAAAAGATGAAGTACTTTGGCCACATCATGAGGAGACAGCAAAGCTTAGAGAAGATAATTATAATGGGTAAAATGGAAGGAAAAAGGAAGAGGGGCTGACCAAGGGCCAGATGGATGGATGGGATCCTTGAAGTGACTGGATTGACCTTGAAGGAGCTGGGGGTGGCCATGGCCGACCGGGGGCTCTGGTGTGGGTTGGTCGGAAGTGACTGAATGAATAAACAATAACAACTACAAATTAATTGCCTAAAGAAAGTTGGCCACTACATTTGAAATATTCAAGAGCCAAATATTCTGGGTAATGTTTTGGGAGGGTTTTGAACCACCTCTAATAATAGACAAGAAACACAGAATTTTCCAATAGCTCCCACTGGGTTGTTTTTTTAAAAAAAATCAAACTCTGATTAATACCATGCTGAGAAAGTGAAATAAGTTTTCATTTTTGGTTACCTGATATGCTTCCCAAACTTAAGCTATTTTACACATCCTGCTGAAACCAACCCACTGTTTTATAATTCCAGTGCAAGATCATTAATGTTGCAATAGGGATGTGTGGCTCACCCCAGTAATAAAGGTGCAAGTGAAATGTTAATTTATTGTTCGGCACATGCAATAATAAGGTTAATTCAGGGTCTGGAATTAATTAACAGAGAGGTGTTGTTGCAAAGAGGGTTCAGAAAGCTAGGGACAGGGAGGAAATGGTATCTAGCAGGCAGGCAAAATCAAAAAGACTTCCTTTTAGGTGGGATATTCAGCATAATTCTGTAGTACTTGTTTCATTTAGTTAAAAGTTTGATCAAAATGAATATATAGAAGATTTGGGAGGGACTGGAAAGATACTCCTCATTGTACTGTAATTGGAAGGCTCTGCATGTGGACAATTTCAACAGAAAGGAAGAAACCATGACAATGAACAAAATCTGGCTACCAGTATTATAAAAAACCTCTAAAATCATAACAGTAAGCAAAGAACACTAAAAAAAAAAAGTCAGGGGAATTCAAGACAAGAAACCATCAGGGCCAGCTAATCAACTCTCAACAAAGGATTCTCCCAGGCAGTAAGAAGCCAGACCTTGAAACTGCTAGGCCATTAAATGCTAATCAAGGTGGCCAGTGTAAACATTCACACCTACTTCAAACATATAAGAGTTCTTTCTCCCACCCTGGACATCGTACTGAAGGATGCTAAACAAGGGGCTTTGAATTAAATTAATAGCAAAAAAGAAACATACCCTTCCTCTGTAGAAAAATAGCAATACAAAAGAAAATGTCTTTAAGAAACAAGAAGGTACTGTGTTACACAGGATGTCGTATTGTATTCTTCTGTTAAAGGTTAAAATTGTTGATCTCACAGTAAAAGGTTAAAATTGATGTTGGTGGTACTTTCCCTTTTGCATTGGGGTATAAAGATATGCAGATTTCAAGAGACGGGCCGGGCAGTCTTTGAAAGCACAAACAGAAGTGCTTCTGTCCGTCTCATGTTGATCAGCTTGATTAAATGGTGTCTTACATGAACCAATTGGACTCTGTGGATTTCTTCGAAAAGGGACCCTGCACTCTAAACCCATGGCTTCAAACTACAAGAGAGGAGATTCCATCTGAACATTAGGAAGAACTTCCTGACTGTGAGAGCCGTTCAGCAGTGGAACTCTCTGCCCCGGAGTGTGGTGGAGGCTCCTTCTTTGGAAGCTTTTAAGCAGAGGCTGGATGGCCATTTGTCAGGGGTGATTTGAATGCAATATTCCTGCTTCTTGGCAGAATGGGGTTGGACTGGATGGCCCATGAGGTCTCTTCCAACTCTTTGATTCTATGATTCTATGATTCCTTACAGTACCACAGGTATATGAACCTCCCTTGCTTTGTTTCCAACAGACCTCACAACCCCTGAGGATGCCTGCCATAGATGCAAGCAAAACATCAGGACAGTATGCTTCTGCACCGGGTTGTGGTGCAGCTAGTTGGGAGTCAGTTGCATTAAAATCACTATTGACCGAGAGGGCATGAGTTCGAAGGCAGCCCAGGTCGGAGTGAGCTTCCGGCCATTTGTCTAGTTTGCTGCTGACTTTTGCAGCCCGAAAGACAGTTGCATCTGTCAAGTAGGAAATTTAGATACCTCTTATGCGTGGAGGCTAATTTAACTAATTTACAACACCATAAAAACTCTCCAGCAGCGTGCAAAAGAATGAGGAAGTACTCCATCAGTGTCACAAGTGGATGATGAAGCAACAGCTCCCCCGGTGGCCAGAATTCAAAAAGCATACCCTCATGAAGTTGGAAAGTTAAATAGCCTCTGTGTCTCTGTTTATGTATGTTGTGAGTCTAGGGCACTGAATGTTTGTCATGTATACGTGCATTGTGATCCTCCCTGAGTCCCCTGCGGGGTGAGAAGGGAGGAATATAAATGCTGTAAATAAATAAATAATGGCCAGACAGCCCGGAAAATTCACAACAACCCTTTGCATAATGTTTCTGATGGCTTTTGAGGTGACTCAGGGGGCATTTATATCGTTTTACGTTAAGACTACATAGTTCTGGAGCCTTATTCGAAATGCTTACTTTCCAATGAGTGGCACATCCTGGGATGTCTCTGGGACCTTTTTGGCAATCAGGAAGAGGAAGACAGTCTGGGCGAGGAGGACATTGATGGAAACTGTGCACTTCTGGCCACCAGCTGCAGAAATAGGAAGGTAAAGTGAGAGTTAGAATCTTCCGGCCTGTGTGTGTATATGTGTATACCTTCTAGCATTTCACAGACAAAAATTTGTAGCTAAGTAAACAGGTTGTAGCGCAACTGGTTGAGAGTCAGCTGAATTAAAATCACTGCTGACCGGGAGGTCATGAGTTCGAAGCCAGCCCGGATCGGAGTGAGCTTCGGGACATTTGTCTAGCTTGCTGTTGACCTTTGCAGCCTGAAAGACAGTTGCATTAGTCAAATAGGAAGTTTAGGTACCGCTTATGTGGGGAGGCTAATTTAACTAATTTACGTTGCCATAAAATTCTCCAGCAGCATACAAAAGAAAGAGGAAGTACTCCATCGGTGTCACAAGTGGATGGTGAAGCGACAGCTCCCCCGGTGGGTGGAATTTTTTAAAAAAGCATACCCTCATGAAGCTGGAAAGTGTAATAGCCTCTGTGTCTCTGTCTATTTATGTTGTGTGTCTATGGCATTGAATGTTTGCCATGCACTGGGATTGTGGCGCAGCTGGCTGAGTGTCAGCTGCATTAAGATCACTCTGACCAAAAAGTGTTGGTCATGAATTCGAAGGCAGCCCGGGTTGGAGTGGGTTTCCAACCAATTGTGTGTAGCCTGTTGTCGACCTTTGCAACCCGAAAGACAGTTGCATCTGTCAAGTAGGAAAATAAGGTACCACCTTAAAAAGTGTGGGGAGGCTAAATTAACTGATTTATGAGGCCATAAAGAAGACTCCAGCAAAGCATTCCAGCGGGGAAGCATGCGGGGAATGCGGAAGTGCTTCATCAGTGTCGCAGATGGACGATGAAAGCGACAGCTCCCCTGGCGGCCAGAAAAAGTTAAATAGCCTCTGTGTATGTCTGTATATGTTTGTATGTCAAAAACTGGCATTGAATGTTTGCCATATATGTGTACACTGTAATCTGCCCTGAGTCCCCTGCGGGGTGAGAAGGACGGAATATAAAAGCTGTAAATAAATAAACAAACAAACAAACAAATAAATAGATTTATATGTGCATTGTGAGTCCCCTGCGAGGTAAGAAGCGCAAAATATAAATACTGTAAATAAATAAATCAATACATAAAAACAGCAAACATTGTTTACAATGGCAAGACTCAAGCTAGTAGAGGCTGCAGCAATATGCTTTTGCCTGACCTACTGGGAAGAGGAATATTCTTTTCTCCTCACTTCAAGTTAGTTGAGTGCAAACTCCTTTTTGCACTTTGAACTCAGCCTGCAGCAACTGAAGTCAGCCAGGTCAAATGGACAAAGGGAATGCATTTTGGGGATAGGATCCCACACCCTGGTTACTTGATTTCAGGTTCATTCAAAAGTCCCCATCAGATCCACTTCCCCGGGAGAAGCTCCCAGCCACTACTGCACGGTAACACAGCGCTGCTCACCTTTGGCAGGCAAGAAATACACAACCACGGCCACGGAGGAAATGAGCACACAAGGAATGATGATGTTGATGATGTAGAAGAGCGGCTTCCTTTGGATGATGAGAAAGAAGACAATCCGCTGGTATTCAATATCATCTGGTGTGAAAGATCCAGCATTGACTATCTTCTTCGCTGGCCGGTGTTTAATTGCCCATTCTCCATTCTCTGTAGGAAGGTGACAGCACACAGAATCATAGAATCATAGAATCAAAGAGTTGGAAGAGACCTCATGGGCCATCCAGTCCAACCCCCTGCCAGAAGCAGGAATATTGCATTCAAATCACCCCTGACAGATGGCCATCCAGCCTCTGTTTAAAAGCTTCCAAAGAAGGAGCCTCCACCACACTCCGGGCAGAGAGTTCCACTGCTGAACGGTTCTCACAGTCAGGAAGTTCTTCCTCATGTTCAGATGGAATCTCCTCTCTTGTAGTTTGAAGCCATTGTTCCATGCGTCCTAGTCTCCAAGGAAGCAGAAAACAAGCTTGCTCCCTCCTCCCTGTGGCTTCCTCTCACATATTTATACATGGCTATCATATCTCCTCTCAGCCTTCTCTTCTTCAGGCTAAACATGCCCAGCTCCTTAAGCCGCTCCTCATAGGGCTTGTTCTCCAGACCTTTGATCATTTTAGTCGCCCTCTTCTGGACACATTCCAGCTTGTCAATATCTCTCTTGAATTGTGGTGCCCAGAATTGGACACAATATTCCAGATGTGGTCTAACCAAAGCAGAATAGAGGGGTAGCATGACTTCCCTGGATCTAGACACTATGCTCCTATTGATGCAGGCCAAAATCCCATTGGCTTTTTTTGCCGCCACATCACATTGTTGGCTCATGTTTAACTTGCTGTCCACGAGGACTCCAAGATCTTTTTCACACGTACTGCTCTCAAGCCAGGCATCCCCCATTCTGTATCTTTGCAGAATGGGAGGTGAGGGAAGTCCATGCAGAGGTGAGGGAAGTCCTTTGGTAGCAGCAGATGCAGCTTAAAATAAATTCAGTGAATCTGAAGGCAATGGGCCAGGTTTCCTCCTATTTCTGACATCAACCTCTACAAATCATAGCCAGGTCAGCATCAACTTCAGTCATCCCATGAATCTCAGCATATTTTGTAATTCTAACCCTTCATTCTACACTGCCTGCTTAACTACACAGAGGACATTTCCATACTAGGCTGTTATATCTTCATAGCGATGCATTAGGACCACTTTTGCCTCAACTTAATCATACAATGTTGTTGCTCTCCAAGTTGCAAGGTTGTTGGAAAGGTATTTTTTTCATACTGGAAATATTCATTTCTTTACTCCTTTTTCCTCCAACTATTCACTAGTCAATCCAGGTACAGAAGTCTTGCAGCTCAGTGGCTAACCTTCCATCAAAGATTCCCAAGCAAATGTCTGACAGATGAGCCTACTTTTCCAGTTTTTGATTTTTTTTGTGTGTGTATATGTGCTATTACATCATCATATTTTATTTATTTATTTACTTTACTTATATACCGCTGTTCTCAGCCCGAAGGCGACTCACAGCGGTTCACAACAAATGAGAACAGCAAAAATTCAATGCTACAGTGCAAAAACAGTTAACAACCTAACATATTACATAATTAATAAACAATTACTACAATAACCATTCACTATTCACTATCGTCTCATCATCAAAAACATGATCCAGATTCATCATCCATTATTCCGTTCCAATGTTCATTAACCAATCATTGCACTAATTATTTGAATGCCTGCTCAAACAGCCAGGTCTTCACTTTCCTGCGGAATACCATTAGAGATGGTGCTAGTCTAATGTCCGTGGGAAGGGCGTTCCACAGCTGAGGGGCCACCACCGAGAAGGCCCTATCTCTCGTCCCCGCCAGCCGTGCTTAAGAAGCAGGCGGGATCGAGAGCAGGGCCTCCCCGGAAGATCCCAAAGTCCTGGTGGGTTCATAGGCAGAGATGCGGTCGGATAGGTAGCTTGGGCTGGAACCGTTTAGGGCTTTAAAGGCCAACGCCAGCCCTTTGAATTGGGCCCGGTAGCAAATCGGTAGCCAGTGGAGTTGGCGCAACAGGGGGGTTATATGCTCCCTGCGCTCCGCTCCTGTTAAAATCATGGCTGCCGAGCGTTGGACTAGTTGGAGCTTCCGAGCCGTCTTCAAAGGCAAACCCACTTAGAGAGCATTGCAGTAGTCTAAACGGGATGTAACCAGAGCGTGGACTACCGTGGCCATACCGTTCTAATATGTACTGTCGTGCCATTGTGACATTATTATGGCTAGAAAAATTAGATGAACCCATCCCTAAGTGAGGGGCAATCTACAAAAGTCTTGATCAGACATGGGTAAACTTTGCCCCCCCCCCCCACCCAGGTATTTTGGACTTCAACTCCCACAATTCCTAACAGCTGGAAGTCCAAAACACCTGTAGGGTGTTGCCCATAACTGGTCTTGAAACAGACAAAAAATCTCAGTGCAAATGGTGTTTGCAAAGTGTAAATGGTGAAGCAACAATGCAGAGTGTCAACAATCAGCTAGCCTCCTAAGATCTGCGGGAGCAGATTTCAAACAGAATAACGCAGCATAAAGGAATGGTGTGATGAGATGCAGAATAATGTCCCCTGGCCCAATCACCCTCAACCTATTTCACTAGGTAGCAGTCAGTGTGAGAGATGGAGGTGTCTTCCCCAGTAGCACAGGAGAATGGCATTTCCATTTTCTTCCCACCAACAAGCAAAGCTGTGAGAAGGACTCATGATGGAGGGTTTGTAACTGTGTAGTTTGAAGGTCCCTATGTGACACCTCAAGGAGTCTGGAGGCATCAAACTGTTCCCTAAACGTGCCACAGTTGCTATCCCCACTTAACCGCATCCAATATTTGCCTCATTTCATGTTATAGCAGTGTTTCTCAACCTTCCTAATGCCTTCCTCATGTTGTGGTGAGCCCTAACCATGAAATTATTTTTGTTGCTACTTCATAACTGTCATTTTGCTACTGTTATGAATTGTAATGTAAATATCTGATATGCAAGATGTATTTTCATTCACTGGATCAAATTTGGCACAAATTGACACCTAAATTTGAATACTGGTGGGGTTGGGGGGATTGATTTTGTCGTTTTGGAGTTATAGTTGCTGGGATTTATAGTTCACCTACAATCAAGGAGCATTCTGAACTCCACCAGTGATGGAATTTAACCAAACTTGGCCACAGAATTCCCATGATCAAATGAAAATACTGGAAGAGTTTGGTAGGCACTGACATTGAGTTTTGGAGTTGTAGTTCACCTACATCCAGAGAGCACTGTGGACTCAAACAATGATAGATCTGGTCCAAACTTGGCACAAATACTCAATATGCCCAAATGTGAACACTGGTGGAGCTTGGAGAAAATAGACCTTGACATTTGGGAGTTATAGTTGCTGGGATGTATAGTTCACTTACAATCAAAGAGCATTCTGAACCCCACCAATGATAGAATAGGGCCAAATGTCTCACACAGAACTCCCATGAGCAACAGAAAATACTATGTTTTCTGATGGCCTTTGGCAACCCCTCCAACACCTCCTCGTGACACCCTCAGGGGTCTTGACCCCCAGGTTGAGAAATGCTGTTTTATAGGGATGTTTTCTCTATATTGTCAGAGGCTTTCATGGCTGGAATCACTTGGTTGTTGTAGGTTTTTCGGGCTGTATGACCATGTTCTAGAAGCATTGTCTCCTGATGTTTCGCCTCCAACTATGGCAGGCATCCTCAGAGTTTGTGAGGTCTGTTGGAAACTAGGAAAATTGGATTTATATATCAATTTTCCTAGTTTCCAACAGACCTCACAATCTCTAAGAATGCCTGCCATAGATGCAGGCGAGACATCAGGAGAGAATGCTTCTGGAACATGGCCTCTGCCATCACACCCAGACACTATAAAGTTAAAACTAAGATGTGCTTCTCTCTTTATCTGGGCGAACTGCGGGTGTCTTACTTTATTTCTCAAAGTCCTTGGCAGACTTGGCACAGCTTCATGAAGTTACAAACAAAACAGTCTATTTGTGAAACCATTGTAGATGTTCTTTCCTTCCTTTTTCCTCCAGCTACTGAGTTAACTTCCCCCAAAAGGTAGAAAAATCCTGAGATTTTCTGCCCTAGCCCTAAGTTGCTGTCTTTTAGAAAGAGCAGGTCTTCCCCTATTCAAGCTTAAGGCTTGTTTTGGAGATGAAGTAATGGCGCCTCTCCCAAATAGCAAAGAAATCTGGAGATATTCCCTGTCCCAGCACTGAGCTGTTATTTTCAGGAAGAGCAGGTCTTCCCCTATCTAAGCCAAGTGCCAGTTTCAAAGGCAAGAGCGTCCCTAACCTGAATCTCAATATCGATCTCAATAGTACTCAATAGTACTCACAATGGCTTGTCAGAGCTTCCTAGCTTGACCAACAGCACATCTGAGGCTTTTTTTCTATACTGAAGAAGGCAGGAGCCTTTCCAAAATGGAGATCTCATCCCCTGGAAAAAGGGCGGTTTCTAGACCAAAAGGATACCTTTTTAAACCAATAGCTGCAAGGGCTTTCAGGCTGGCTTCCAACCTCTGTTAATAATTAACTTCCAGGGTGTTGCTAAAACTGTAGCAACCCTGGGGGGAAATGCAAAGGGATGTTATTTTATGCAACTAAGGAGCAAAGCAAACCAAGCTCCTGGGAGACAGAACATGGCCATATAGCCCAAAAAACCTACAATGACCTGATGTTTCCTCTGCTTCCATGGCCGCTTTGGTTCATGATAAGAATCCAGCAAACAAATGATTTGTATTCATCCTTCCTGTTTCATTATTCCTGCTCCCCCTTCTTCTCTGGGCCTCTCCTCAAGCTAACAGTTGCATTTCAGCTGACTGACCCATTGACACAGTTGTCCTGAGCAGCTGCCGCTGCCATTCTCCATCATATCTGACCAGCATATTGATGTTGCACAGTTTCTCTTTTGGCAGCGAGAGGCTTTTATTTTTATTTTTTCATTACAGGGACAAGCTGGTTATTTTCGCACTATTAAAAAGCCATCACTCCATCAGATATGACAGGAGGGTGGAAACTGCATAACAGGGTGTTAATACATGGCATGTGATGAGGAGAAAAGAGAAGAAAACATGGCCTTTATAGCAGCGGGCTCAGGCTATTGGGACTGAATTCCTGGCAGAGTGAGCTCTCCGCTCCATCAAATCCCAGCATCTGGCTGAAATCCCCTTGCCTTGGAAGGCAGCAAACTGGTAGGGCTCCAAATATCCAGTCTGAGATGAACTGACTTGTATGATTATGGACATCTCTATCGGGCTCTGCCTTAGCCATCTAAATCCTCACTTAGATCCAGAGCCCTTTGCTCAGGGTTTTATATTATCCATTTAAACAGACCTTCAAGCCATTACTTTTGGTATTCCAACTCCCAAAATCTGCAGTCCAAAACATAATGGAAAAAACAGAGGAAGGTTTGGGGGTTTTGGAGGAGGTTTTTTTTGCTTCTTCTCTCATAATGTTGGAAGTTGGATGAGGACTAGAAAACAAGACATCAGAGATACAGTGGATACCTAACTTCTGGGGGTTTTTTGCTACATATTTTATTTATTTATTTATTATTTGAACTTATATGCCGCCACTCCCCTGGGGCTCGGAGCGGCTTACAAGAATGGCTAAAATCTAACAAAATTTAAAAACAATTTAAAACAATTTAAAAACAGCAATCTCAAACATTAAAAGGCTGTCGAAACATGCCCTGCAGAAAGCCGATAAGTCCCACAAGGCACGGACTTCAGGTGGCAGAGTATTCCAGAGTGATGGTGCCACTGCTGTGAAGGCTCTGCGTCTGGTTGCTGTTAGACGCAAGGTCTTGACACTGGGGACTTCCGATAGATCTTGGTCCTCAGAATGGAGGGATCTCTGGGGTTGGTAGGGGGTGAGGCGGTCCCTCAGGTACATCGGCCCCAGACCATACAAGGCCTTAAAGGTGAGTACCATCACTTTGAAAGTGATCCGGTGCTCAATTGGTAACCAATGCAGCTGCAGTAAGATTGGTGTTATGTGGCATATCATCGGAATTCCTGCAAGAAGCTGAGCAGCTGCATTTTGTACCAACTTGAGTTTCCGGATCACCGACAGAGGAAGGCCAATGTAGAGGGCGTTACAGTAGTCCAGTCTTGAGATGACCGTGGCCTGGATCACCGTAGCGAGGTCGTCCCTGGACAGGGAGGGGGCCAGCCGTCTAGCCTGCCGCAGATGGAAAAAGGCGGTTCTGGTAACGGCGGAGACCTGGGCCTCCATCGTCAGCAGAGGGTCCAAAAGGACTCCCAGACTCTTGACCAATAATGACGGGCGTAGCACCTCGCCATCCAGGGTGGGCAGCTGGATATCCCCACTGCCCGGTCGACCCAGCCATAGGATCTCCGTCTTTGCTGGATTCACCCTCCGTATTCACAGACAGTGTACCCTTTGAATGTGGATGAACAGGACAAGTGTATGGCTTTCAAAAAAAAAAAGTGAGTTTGCCAAAGTTGTTGGGTTGTTGGAAACAAGATGATGAGTTAGATGAGATCTTAGTTCAATGGAGAGTTAGTTAGTGTTTTGGACTTTGTGTGTGTGTGTGTGTGTGTGTCAGGAGTGACTTGAGAAACTGCAAGTCACTTCTGGTGTGAGAGAATTGGCCATCTGCAAGGACATTACCATCCTGTGGGAGGCTTCTTTCATGTCCCCACATGGGGAGCTGGAGCTGACAGAGGGAGCTCATCCTGCTCATTGGATTTGAACCATCGACCTTTCGGTCAGCAGTCCTGCCAGCACAAGGATTTAACTCATTGTGCCAACAGAGGACTATAACTTCCATATTCCCCCAGCATATGTTACAACTAGACTGATGCAAGAAAGTTGCTAGTAGTAGTAGTAGCATTTCTGTTAATCAAGGCGGGGAACAATAACCAGTTAAAATAAAGCAGAAACAACTCTTTAAAATGGCTGATAGCAATTAAAGAGCATACAAAATCACTACATATTTAAAAACAATGAATTCCCACATGAAAAAAATAATTTTAGCGTCAGTTGAATACGTATGTTGGAAGAGACTGATCTTTAATGCCTTTATACTATATCTTCAAGGATCAGCCAGTATCAACCACAACTTACATGCAGACATGCTTACCTGTGAAATCTTCAGGGTCAATAAAGATCCATTCAATTGTCTGCTCTTCTTCAACTGTCAACAGTAGATTGATTTCATGGGCATTGTAGGTCTGTGACCTTGTAAACACATAATCACCAGATAGAATCAGTTTACACAATGGCCAGTGTGGCTTTGTGATTTGGGCGTTGGACTAAGATTCGTGGAAACACACTGGACTTGAGTGAGTCACATTGGTTTAAAGAGGGAATCATAGAATTGAAAGAGACACAAGAGCCATCCAGTCCAACCCCGTTTTGCCACATGGGAAGATACAAGCAAAGCTCTCCCGACAGATGGGCAATCACCCTCTGTTTAAAAGCCTCCAGAGGGGATTCTGCCACTCCAGGGTATAAAAATCATAAAGACCAATGACTCACTGGAATTCAAGGGAGCAATTCTGCCAGTCGAAGGGAAAGTAGGTGACAACGATAGAGCAGACACTGCGATAGATGGCCGGAGGAAGCCAGGTGATGCTGCCGCTCGGAGACACCAAAACATTGGCGTATAGCGCGACATCAAACACACCATCGATACTGCAAGGAACAAGGGAAGAAAGAGGGCAAGTTTTGGGTATGACCAGACAACATCCCAGGAACACTTTATACAAAAGGTTAATGTAAGGCATGGCTCGTTGGGTTTTCAATTTTATATAATTTTATACATTTCAAGGAGCCCCCGTTGGCACAGTGGGTTAAACCACTGAGCTGCTGAGCTTGCTGACCAAAAGGTCGCAGGTTCGATTTCGGGGTGTGAGCTTCCGCTGTGAGCCCTAGCTTCTGCCAACCCAGCAGTTCGAAAACATGCAAATGTGAGTAGATCAATAGGTACCGCTCCGGTGGGAAGGTAACGGCGCTCCATGCAGTCATGCTGGCCACATGACCTTGAAGGTGTCTACGGACAACGCCGGCTCTTCGGTTTAGAAATGGAGATGAGCACCACACCCCAGAGTCAGACAATACCTTTACCTTATACATTTTATAATTTGGGGATTTGATTTCTTGATGTCATGTTCATTACATACTAGTCATGGGAGAAGATCTTCTACCATGCCCTTTGGAAGCTACTTTGCATCCCACTCTGGGAGAAAAGTGATATATAAATTAAATAAATACACTCCAGGCAGCTGCCATCCAGAAAGAGACATGGTAGGCCATTTCTCCTGCTACAGAAGAGGCAACCCAAATGCACTCATCCCTTGGAGGAGGAGGAGGACAAGGAGGAGGACGAGGACGAGAAGGAGGAAGAGAAGGAGGAGATGGAGGAGGAGGAAGAGGAGGAAGAGGAGGAGGAGGAAGAGGAAGAGGAGGATGAGAAGGAGGAAGAGGAGGAGGAGGAGGAGCAGGAGGAGGAGGAGGAGGAAGAGAAGGAGGAGGAGGAAGAGGAGGAAGAGGAGGAAGAGGAAGAGGAGGATGAGAAGGAGGAAGAGAAGGAGGAGGAGGAGGAGGAAGAGGAAGAGGAGGAGGAGGAGGATAGAATCATAGAATCAAAGAGTTGGAAGAGACCTCGTGGGCCATCCAGTCCAACCCCCTGCCAAGAAGCAGGAATATTGCATTCAAAGCACCCCTGACAGATGGCCATCCAGCCTCTGCTTAAAAGGAGGAGGAGGAAGAGGAGGATGAGAAGGAGGAAGAGGAGGAAGAGGAGGAGGAGGAGGAGGAGGAGGAGGAAAGAACCTTTGAAGGACACTAACTTGTTCTCCAAGACGATATCTGGCAGCCACACCATCGTGGAGGGAATCCGTAAACACTTGATATTGTCATAGTCATTCGGATCCCACTGCAGGCGATAATCGTTCCACTTCTGGCAACAAAGAAGCTGATTCATTATCTTAGACCGAGGAAGAATTGTAATGCCATATGGTGGCTCTCAAAACAAGGAACCTAAATCTTGAATCATTCATATAGGTGCTCTAATATATACAAAAGAAAAACATTACTCTACACTCACCCAGAATATAAAACATAACAAGAAGAACAAAACGCTATACATGAATACTGATTGCCCCAAATTCCTATAGACTACTCACTACTGCTACTTGACTACCCACATCCACACACACAAAAGATGTTGAAAAATTGACTTTCCGTTCTTCAAGCCAAGGACCAACTACACTACCATTATAATGCAGATTAAATTGGATTATATGGATTATATAACGTAGATGGGGCCTGTGTCTGTAGAAAACAAATCCCACAATTCCACTGAAAATGCTGATCCTTTTGTCCAAAAAAGTAACAGACTCATGAACTGGAAATATTTTGTAGTTTCTCTTCTCTTTTAATACTAAGGCACTAACATTTGTGACCACTATATTGAACCGCTAAAGTGTTCAACATTTGCACTGACAAAAGATTTACCGTATATATTCGAGTATAAGCCGACTTTAATATAAGCCGAGCCATTTTACCAAAAATACCTGGGAAAACCTATTGACTCGAGTATAAGCCATGGGGGGGAAATGCAGCCGCTACGGGTAAATTTCAAAATACAAATAGATATCAATAAAATTATATTAATTGAGGCATCAGCAGGTTAAATGGTTTTGAATATTTACATAAAACTGTAATTTGATTAAACTATTATTCTAACCTTCTTCAATGTAAATGTGCTAACGTATCCTTCCAATAATAATAGAGTAAAATAATAAATGTAATAATAATATAGCAAAATAATTGAAATTCAATAATAACAATAATAACAGAGTAATGTAGTAATAATAAATGTAATAATAATAATAATAATAATAATAATAATAATAGAGTAAAATAATAAATGTAATAATAATAATAATAATACGGTAAAATACTGTAAATATTATATATATATATATATATACATATACATATACACATATATATTTGTCGTGTCAGGAGCGACTTGCAAGTCGCTTCTGGTGTGAAAGAATTGGAAGAAACTGCAAGTCGCTTCTGGTGTGAGAGAATTGGAAGAAACTGCAAATCGCTTCTGGTGTGAGAAAATTGGCCGTCTGCAAGGACGTTGCCCAGGGGACGCCTGGATGATATGATGTTTTTATCATCCTTGTGGGAGGCTTCTCTCATGTCCCCGCATGAGGAGCTGGAGCTGATAGAGGGAGCTCATCCACCTCTCCCCGGATTCGAACCTGCGACCTGTCGGTCTTCAGTCCTGCCAGCACAGTGCTTTAACCCACTGCGCCACCGGGGGATCCTAATATAATAATAATAATACATTAAGTAAAATAATAAATGTAATAAAAGTAATACTAATAACAGAGTAAAATAATAAATAACCTTGACTCGAGTATAAACCGAGGAGAGCTTTTTCAGCCTAAAAAGGGGGCTGAAAAACTAGGCTTATACTCGAGTATATACAGTAAATCCTAAATTCAACAGAGGCCCCTTCCACACAGCTAAATAAAATCCCATGTTTTCTGCTTTGAACTGAAATATATGGCAGTGTGGACTCAGATAACGCAGTTTAAAGCAGGTGTGGTGGGATTTTCTGCCTTGTTTTCTGCTTCCGTGGAGACTAGAACACGAAACAATGGCTTCAAACTACAAGAAAGGAAATTCCATCTGAACATGAGGAAGAACTTCCTGACTGTGAGAGCCGTTCAGCAGTGGAACTCTCTGCTCCGGAGTGTGGTGGAGGCTCCTTCTTTGGAAGCTTTTAAACAAAGGCTGAATGGCCATCTGTCAGGGGTGCTTTGAATGCAATATTCCTGTTTCTTGGCAAGGGGTTGGACTAGATGGCCCATGAGGTCTCTTCCAACTCTTTGATTCTATGATTCTATGATATTCTGGGTTATATGGCTGTGTGGAAGGGCCCTGAGACTTGAGCTGCTCTCTTACCAGTTCCACCCAGACGTTGGTTGTGAGCGCCTCATCCCGTTCGTTCTGGAAAAAGATAAGAGGGTGAATTGGATGGCTGAAATGCCAATATAGTTCTGTTACAACTTCCTTTAAAAATCCTGTAATACAGGGTTCAATTATATTGTGGAATTGATGCAGTTTGACACCATTTTCACTGTTGTGGCTCAATAGTATAGAATCCTTGGAGTTGCATTTTTGAAAAGCCTTTAGCCTTTTCTTCTAAAAAGTGTTGATGCCTTACCAAACTACAACTCCCATTACAACTCCCTGGAGCTGTAATTGGTTAAGTGAATGAACCCAGAGAGTGCTCATCAATGCTTCCTTTTCATCCTGGGGAGAAGTGACGAGTGGAGTGCCATCAGCAGGGTTCTGTCCTAGGCCCGGTCCTGATCAGGATCCTTATTAATGACTTAGATGAAGGGCTAGAAGGCATGATCATCAAGTTTGCAGACGGGACCAAATTGGGAGGGAGAGCCAAGACTCCAGAAGACAGAAACACAATTCAAAACAATCTTCACAGATCAGAGAGATGATGGGACAAAAGGAACACAATTGAAGTTCAACAGTGACAATTGCAAGAGACACTACTTAAGCAGAAAAATGAAAATATACAGAATGGGGGACGCGTGACTCGAGAGTAGTACGTATGAAAAAAAGATCTTGGGGTCCTCGTGGACAACAAGTTAAACATGAGCCAACAATGTCATGCAGCAGCAAAAAAAGCCAATGGGGTTTTGGCCTTCATCAAGACCTCACTACTTCTGAGGATACTTGCCATAGATGCAGGCGAAATGTCAGGAGAGAATGGCTCTAGAACATGGCCATATAGCCCGAAAAAACCTACAACAACCCAGTGATTCCGTCCATGAAAGCCTTCAACAATACATTAAATAGGAGTATAGTGTGTAGATCCAGGGAAGTCATGCTACCCCTCTATTCTGTCTTGGTCAGACCACATCTGGAATACTGTTTCCAATTCTGTACATCACAATTAAAAGGAAATATTGACAAGCTGGAATGTTGCCAGAGGAGGGTGACTAAAATTATCAAGGGCCTGGAGAATAAGCCCTATGAGGAGCGGCTTAAAGAGCTTGGCATGTTTAGCCTGAAGAAGAGAAGTCTGAGAGGAGACATCATAGCCATGTATAAATATGTGAGAGGAAGCCACAGGGAGGAGGGAGCAAGCTTGTTTTCTGCTTCCTTGGAGACTAGGACGCGAAACAATGGCTTCAAACTACAAGAGAGGAGATTCCATCTGAACATTAGGAAGAACTTCCTGACTGTGAGAGCCGTTCAGCCGTGGAACTCTCTGCCCCGGAGTGTGGTGGAGGCTCCTTCTTTGGAAGCTTTTAAGCAGAGGCTGGATGGCCATCTGTCAGGGGTGATTTGAATGCAATATCCCTGCTTCTTGGCAGTGGGTTGGACTGGATGGCCCATGAGGTCTCTTCCAACTCTTTGATTCTATGATTCTATGATTCTATGATGCTATGATTCTATGAAATATGTGAGAGGAAGTCATAGGGAGGAGGGAGCAAGCTTGTTTTCTGCTTCCCTGGAGACTGGGACACAATGGAACAATAGCTTCAAAGTACAGGAAAGGAGATTCCACCTGAACATTAGGAAGAACTTTCTGACTGTGAGAGCTGTTCAGCAGTGGAACTCTCTGCCCCGGAGTGTGGTGGAGGTTCCTTCTTTGGAGGCTTTTAAGCAGATGCTGCATATCCATCTGCCAGGAGTGCTTTGAATGTGATTTTCCTGCTTCTTGGCAGAATGGGGTTGGACTGGATGGCCCATGAGGTCTCTTCCAACTCTAGGATTCTATGTTTGTTTCATAGCCTTGAACCATAGCAGTTAAAATGGTGTGAAACTGCATTAATTCAGTTCTCCTTGTTGTATTTTATAGCTGTTTCCAACTCCATTAAGGGTGAATCCACACCAGTAGTTCTCAACCTTCCTAATGCCGTGACCCCTTAATACAGTCCCTCATGTTGTGGTGACCCCCAACCATAACATTGTTTTCGTTGTATTGTCGAAGGCTTTCATGGCCGGAATCACTCAGTTCTTGTGGGTTTTTTCGGGCTATATGGCCATGTTCTAGAGGCATTTCTCTTAAATTGTTTTCGTTGCTATTTCATAACAGTCATTTTACTACTGTTATAAATCATAACGTAAATATCCGATATGCAGGATGTATTTTCATTCACTGGAACAAATTTGGCACAAATACTCAATATGCCCAAATATGAATACCCGTGAGGCAGGGAGTTGTAGTTCACCTACATTCAGAGAGCACTGTGGACTCACACAATGATGGATCTGGACCAAACTTGGCACAAATACTCAATATGTCCAAATATGAACACTGGTGGGGTCTGGAGAAAATAGACCTTGACATTTGGGAGTTGTAGTTGTTGTGATTTATAATTCACTACAATCAAAGAACACTCTGAACTCCACCAATGATAGAATTGTGTCAAACTTCCCACATGGAATCCCCATGACCAACAGAAAATACTGTGTTTTCTGATTATCTTTGGCGACTCCTCTGACACCCTCTCGTGACCCCCTCAGGGGTCCTGACCCCCAGGTTGAGAAACACTGATCTACACTGTCGAAACACTAGCATTCTGCCATGTGGTCTTTGTAAGGAGAGGGGGAGAAATGGCACTCTTCCTTACCAGTGTGATGAGGTTGGTGAGAGTTAGCTTGAGAGAAACATCAATAATGTCCCCCTTGTCTCTAGCCGGGCGAAAGTTGCGGTTATAGTCAGCCATCAAGTCATTGATCAGTTTCTCCTCCTGGTTCTGGCTCAGGACCACTGGAAAAAGGAAGCAGGCAGATACTGAAGATAGGCAAGGATTGTGATGCAAATAGTCAGTCATGCTGAGGACAGTGAGTAAACCGAACAAGCTCTTTGGCAATTGTTTGAGAACCCACTTGACCATCTGGTCTTCCTAACCTATTATTTGTTTCTGCGATTGACCATTCAGACTCTTCTGCTTAGTTCTGATTGCTTACTAGAGTGTTTATGATTATTGTTTATCCTATAATGTAAAATAAGAATAAAAGATTCAGCTGTATCCTGATCTGTTTTAATGAGCCTAACCAGCTCCATTTTGACCATTGCAGACATCTCCCCATGACCTGTGTTACTTGCTGCGCTCTGTCATTTGTGCTAGGCTAAAAATGATGTATTTGCAATATTATGTGCCCAGCGTCAACAACTAGAAGTAATGGCCAGATACAGTAGCAGACTCTGAGAAACAGCCTTTGAAATGACAGGGAGAAGGTTTGAAGAAAAGAGACAAAGAGAGGTCCCGAGGTCTGAAAAGCAGGGTTTATTCTCGGTTGGCGCCAACCGGATATGGACCCTCCTGGTAAGCCAGGAAAAAAGGGTACAGAACAAAGAAAAGGCTTGGTTTATATACCCTTTAAAATAATACGCATGCGTCATACATGCATCACAATGTGCATCACAACATTCTACTTTTACATTGACTTCAATGGCATATTTCAATCTCAACATCTGTCAATCTGCATTTTGAGTATCCTTATCTGAAGAGGTGCTATTAATTAGGACTATCGCCAGAATGTCTACTAGACCTGATAGCAAGAGCTTCCATCCATCTTGAGGTAAGTTCTTCCTGAAGCCTCTTGATGGCCAGCTCATTAATCTTACGATAAGGTGCCTGGTACCAAAATGGAACCTCTTGAAATATGCCAGAGGTCTCTTAACATTCCTTTCTTTAGACCCTGGCCTCTAATTTTTGCAGCTTTTAATAAGCCAAGTGAAGTGAAGGTCAAGCATACATACATTTCTCTTTGTGATTTCATATATTTTCTAATTCCTATTTCTAATATGGTTACATCAAATATATATTTTCCAATATGTGTATTATGCATTTTCATCATGCCTCCATCACCTTATCAACAACAAGCAAGTTTATTTATTACTAGCTGTACCCACCACGTGTTGCTGTGGCCAACCTCCCCTCCCTGTTTCTCTTCTTTCTTTCTCTCCTTCCTTCCTTCTCTTCCTCTTCCCTTCCTTCCCCCCTCCTTTTCTTTCCTTCCTATTTCTCCCATTTCTTCCTTCTCTACCTATTCTTGGACTGCAACTCCCAGCAGTCCTCCTGAACCATCTACCTACCTACCTCTATCTAATCTATCTATCTTATCTATCTGGAGGATTACTAGGAGTTGCAGTCCAGGAATAGGAAATTGGAAATATGCAGGGATTGGGATGCTCTCAAAGAAATCCAAGGAGAAGAAAGCTTGCATCTTGGAAGCAGTGCATTTGGATCACCCTCCTCTCCGAAAGGAGCTGTAGTCTGGAAGAGAGTGTCGATATGCTATTGCGTATTTTGTTTTCCACGGGGAGTCATTTTTGCGCATGCGCTATAGCGTCTTTTTACCTTTTTTGGCTTTTTAAGTCCCTTCTGCTGTGTTTTTCAGTAGTTTTATGAGTGATGGTCACTCGTTGGCCTGATAGGTGTCTTGTGTCCAAATTTCATGTTAATTCATCCAGTGGTTTTTGAGTTCTGTTAATCCCAGAACTTTATATAGATTTCAAACATTTGTACCCTGTCCTTCTCGGCTCCCGAGGGGGGACTCAGGGTAGCTTACAGTCGGCAGCAATTCAATGCCAATGCATACACCATAACAAAATAACACAGATTCAACATTAATTAAAACATTAAATTATAAAATAGCAAATTAAAACATTATTATAAAAATATAACTGCATCCAAGTTCAGTTGAGAGACCCAGTCCAAAGCCTGTGCATTATCAATTAGAATATAACATTGCAACTTCTGTTAGGCCTGCTGCCCAAATGCCTGGTCCTGAAACCATGTCTTGAGCTTTTTCCTGACGGAAAGGAGAGATGGAGCTGATCTGATTTCCTTGGGGAGTGTGTTCCACAGATGGGGGGCCACCACCAAGAAGGCCCTGTCTCTCGTCTCCGCCAATCTTGTTTGCAAAGAGGGCAGGACCGAGAGCAGGACCTCCCCGGACAATCTTAAACTCCGAGGTGGATTGCATAGAGAGATAGGTTCAGACAAGTAAGCTGGATACATTCTGTACTGGTCACGTAGATTTCAGATGAGGATTGCCATGTATACATTAAATATTGCTCATACATACATCTTTGCTTCTTCCAGCACACTGACGTTTGTCCGCTTATCTTCCCAAGAGATTTGCAGGATTTTCAGAGGCAACGCAGGAGTTGAGTGTGACATCTGTAGACAGTCCACGTTTCACAGAATTGTCTGCATAATTCTGAAGTACTATAATATACTGATGCATGGAATGAACTTTATCTCAACCAGTGAAGGAAGTTGGACTGAAAGCAGGGCTGAGATTTGGTAGATCCTTTGGCCAAAAGTATTGTTTGTGATCTGTCTGGCTTCCTGATCAGTTTTAGTTCTCATTCCAGCTCTATGTTTCACTTGGAAGATACAAGAGGGTTGATATTTCAGCTCTATCCAACAATAGGTTTCAAGATGAGCTATTTTCGGATGCAGTGCCTCTGCCCCTTTATGAAGTTTCCATAAAGCCAAGGTAATAAATAAAATTCCCTGACTCTAGAACACATCTGTTATGTTCCTCTTGCTTTCCTTGACTAAAAAAACCCAACTCTCATGTGCCTTTCTTGAGCTACAATGAGGAATTAATTAGACAGGTGCCAAGCATCCTGTTCATTCTAATTGATTAATAATAAATAACCCTCTTGTCTCTGCTTGCAATCCACCCTCATCTGGTCCATGGACCATTACCTTACTAATGATGTTTTTTAATCCCATACATTATCAAATTATGAAGGAATGGAGACTGCCCAATAAACTCTTACAAGGGAACCATGTGGGAGAAGTGTTGGCAAATTGCCTTCATTACGCTAATTGCAGTTGCTTTCTGAAAAGTGGGCACAGGCCGGCAGGAAGGCATTCGAGTTGCCACCATGGTATTTATTGATTTACTGTAGTTATATATTGCCTTTCTCACCCTGGAGGGACTCAAGACAGTTTACAACATATTAATTGTGTCCAGAATTGGAAGTCATGCTACCTCTCTATTCCGCTTTGGTTAGACCACACCTGGAATATTGTGTCCAATTCTGGGCACCACAATTCAAGAGAGATATTGACAAGCTGGAATGTGTCCAGAGGAGGGCGACTAAAATGATCAGGGGTCTGGGGAACAAGCCCTATGAGGAGCGGCTTAAGGAGCTGGGCATGTTTAGCCTGAAGAAGAGAAGGCTGAGAGGAGATATGATGAGGGCCATGTATAAATATGTGAGAGGAAGCCACAGGGAGGAGGGAGCAAGCTTGTTTTCTGCTTCCCTGGAGACTAGGACGCAATGGACCAATGGCTTCAAACTACAAAAGGAGATTCCATCTGAACATGAGGAAGAACTTCCTGACTGTGAGAGCCGTTCAGCAGTGGCACTCTGCCCCGGAGTGTGGTGGAGGCTCCTTCTTTGGAAGCTTTTAAACAGAGGCTGGATGGCCATCTGTCAGGGGTGATTTGAATGCAACATTCCTGCTTCTTGGCAGGGGGTTGGACTGGATGGCCCATGAGGTCTCTTCCAACTCTTTGATTCTATGATTCTATGATTCTAATGATAAAAATTCAATGCCAACATTCAGTACACAAAGAATTACTACATATAACTATGCACTTAAAATAAATTAAATGGTACCCTGAACTTCACTGTATTTACTTACTTAGACGAACCCTCATAGCCCGAGGATGATGGTCCTCCAAGTGTAGTGTCTTGGTGGTGGGTCCATAGATGGCTGTGGAGACCTATTCTTGATCCGCATGTTCTCCTGCAGCGAGGATATGGGTTTCCAGGTGGAAGGCGGTCCCAGTCAGGGTTGGCTTGACACACATCTTCTTGGCATGTTTCTCCCTTTTGCCCTCCATTCGTGCCTCTTCAAATTCTGCAGCACTGCTGGTCACAGTTGACCTCCAGTTAGAGTGATCGAGGGCCAGGGCTTCCCGTTCTCGGTGTCTATGCCACAGTTTTTAAGGTTGGCTTTAAGCCCATCTTTAAATCTCTTTTTGTGTCCACCAACATTACATTTCCCTTTCTTGAGTTGGGAGTATAGTAACTGCTTTGGGAGATGGTGATTGGGCATTTGGACAATGTGGTCAGTCCAGCGAAGTTGATGGCAAAGGAGCACCCCTTCAATGCTAGTATTTGCTTCTTCCAGCACACTGACATCTGTAGACAGTCCACGTTTCAGAGATGTATAGCAGGGTTGGGCGGACAATAGCTCTATAAACAAGCACTGACCGCATAGGGAAGCTGATGAGGAAACACAACATACAAACAATCTACAAACCCACCAAGAAAATCCAACAAATGCTACATTCAGCAAAGGACAAGAGGGATCCTCTCACCTCTGCAGGAGTCTACCGTATACCATGCAGCTGTGGACAAGTCTACATAGGGACCACCAAACGCAGCATTGCCCAAACACGAATCAAGGAACATGAAAGGCACTGCAGACTACTTCAACCAGAGAAGTCAGCCATTGCAGAGCACCTGATGAACCAGCCTGGACACAGCATATTATTTGAGAACACAGAGATGCTAGACCACACCAACAACCACCATGTCAGACTACACAGAGAAGCCACTGAAATCCACAAGCATGTGGACAATTTCAACAGAAAGGAAGAGACCATGAAAATGAACAAAATCTGGCTACCAGTATTAAAAAACTCTAAAATTACAACAGCAAAACAGCAGAGAGGAAACAAACAGGCACATCTTAACACCTCTCAACAAAAGATTTTCCCAGGCTCAGCCAGGCCTTCAAATGCTAATGAAGGTGGTCAGTTGAAACATTCACACCTAGCTCCAGCAGAGAAGAGCTCTTTGCCCCACCCCAGCCATTCCACAGATATATAAACCCATTGTCCTAATTCCAACAGACCTCACTACCTCTGAGGATGCTTGCCATAGATGCAGGCGAAACGTCAGGAGAAATGCCTCTAGAACATGGCCCTATAGCCCGAAAAAACCCCACAAGAACCTAGTGATTCCAGCCATGAAAGCCTTTGACAATACATTAAGCACCTTGGTCTCCCTACGGATGTTCCAACTTTTTTATTTAGGGCAACCTTCTTGGCTCTTCAACACAAACTGGCCACTTGGAGTTTCTTTGGTGTTGCTGTAAGACGGTCCACCATTGTGCATGTGACAGGGCTTGGGTTGCATTGTAATAGGTGGCCTGTGCTTTGCTCTTCTCCACACTCACATGTCATGGCCTTCACTTTCTAGCCCCATTTCTTAAGGTTGGCTCTGCATCCCATGGTACCGGAGTGTAGTCTGTTCAGCGCCTGACGTGAGAGAAGCCTCCCCACAGGATGGTAACATATCTGAGCGTCCCCTGGGCAACGACTTTGTAGATGGTTGATTCTCTCACACCAGAAGTGACTTACAGTATTTAACCAACCAACTAACCAAACAGATCTTTTCAAGACCAGCTATGACAATAATCTCAATTAACATCGAAGGCAGGTCAGCTACCAAAGAACAGTTGCTTTTATGAACTGTGTTAAACATTATGATGAATGGCCCCATCCCTTGCACATTTAGTTCAGTTTCAAAACCCCTGCCTTTCCTGCCAGTAATAGTATATGTTCTAGGTTCTTGTAGGTTTTTTCGGGCTATAGGGCCATGTTCTAGAGGCATTTCTCCTGACGTTTCACCTGCATCTATGGCAAGCATCCTCAGAGGTAGTAAGGTCCTCACTCCCTCTGAGGATGCTTGCCATAGATGCAGGCGAAACGTCAGGAGAGAATGCCTCTAGAACATGGCCATATAGCCCGAAAAAACCTACAAGAACCTAGTGATTCCAGCCATGAAAGCCTTCGACAGTATATGTTCTATTCCTGGATGCTAATCCATAGTTCCCCTCCCGATCCGCAAAGCTTACCTGTAAGAAAGCTAAAAGCAAGGAAGACCACACTAGGCCAATGCATGCTGTCGGTGGGGTTCAGCCTTCCTTTCCCCCCCAAAGCAGAAACATTTGCCTATACAGCTGGGAGGGTCTGGAAGATTATTTTGAGCCGGACCCACCTCTCCCTTCTTCTTCCTCCCACCCAACCCTGTGTCCCCTCCTCTGTGGACACTTTGCTGCCCAGCTGTCTGACCGCTGCCGCATTGTCAGCTGTTTTCCTCAATAATGATGACAGCTGTCAGAACAACAATAGATTTGGGGGGGGGGGGCATATGGCAGAACTGACTGTCCCTACCAACCCCTTTGGGGATGCAAACCAAGCCAGTCTGCTGTATGCGAGAACCATCTTGACAAATGAAGCGGAAGTGTTTCAGGAACGTGCCAGAGATATCTCTGTGCCCAGCCCTCGATTACATGGACCAGCCAAGCCAATCTTCTCTATTTATAGGAACCCTCTGATTTGGGGAACATTTCTGCCTAGTTCACAGAGACATGCCTCAAGTGCAATTGATGCAAAAGACAAGGATACAGAGTTTGGTCAAAACTCTGTATCCTCTGATCTGGCTAAAGCGGTCCATGCCTTAGTCACCTCCAGACTTTATTACTGTAATGGCCAAAACTCTGATCTGGCCAAAGTGGTCCATGCCTTAGTCACCTCTAGACTGGATTACTGCAATGGCCAAAACTCTGATCTGGCCAAAGTGGTCCATGCCTTAGTCACCTCTAGACTGGATTACTACAATGGCCAAAAACTCTGATCTGGCCAAAACTCTGATCTGGCCAAAGTGGTCCATGCCTTAGTCACCTCCAGACTTTATTACAGTAATGGCCAAAACTCTGATCTGGCCAAAGTGGTCCATGCCTTAGTCACCTCTAGACTGGATTACTGCAATGGCCAAAAACTCTGATCTGGCCAAAACTCTGATCTGGCCAAAGTGGTCCATGCCTTAGTCACCTCTAGACTGGATTACTGCAATGGCCAAAACTCTGATCTGGCCAAAACTCTGATCTGGCCAAAGTGGTCCATGCCTTAGTCACCTCTAGACTGGATTACTGCAATGGCCAAAACTCTGATCTGGCCAAAGTGGTCCATGCCTTAGTCACCTCTAGACTGGATTACTGCAATGGCCAAAACTCTGATCTGGCCAAAGTGGTCCATGCCTTAGTCACCTCTAGACTGGATTACTGCAATGGCCAAAACTCTGATCTGGCCAAAGTGGTCCATGCCTTAGTCACCTCTAGACTGGATTACTGCAATGGCCAAAACTCTGATCTGGCCAAAACTCTGATCTGGCCAAAGTGGTCCATGCCTTAGTCACCTCTAGACTGGATTACTGCAATGGCCAAAACTCTGATCTGGCCAAAGTGGTCCATGCCTTAGTCACCTCTAGACTGGATTACTGCAATGGCCAAAACTCTGATCTGGCCAAAGTGGTCCATGCCTTAGTCACCTCTAGACTGGATTACTGCAATGGCCAAAACTCTGATCTGGCCAAAGTGGTCCATGCCTTAGTCACCTCTAGACTGGATTACTGCAATGCACTCTATATGGGGCTGCCCTTGAAAACAGCCCGGAAATTTCAGATGATCCAACGGGCAGCAGCCAGGTTGTTAACTGGGGCTCCTTACAGGTAGCGGTCATTCCTCCTGTTCAAGGAGCTCCACTGGCTGCCATTCATCTACTGGACCCAACTCAAGGTGCAGGTTCTTACCTACAAAGCCCTGAACGGTTTGGGACCTGCCTACCTGCGTGTCCGCATCTCTGTATATGAACCCACACGATCCCTTAGATCATCCGGAGAGGCCCTGCTCTCGATCCCACCAGCATTACAGGCGCAATTGGTGAGGACGAGAGAGGGGGCCTTTTCGGTGGTGGCCCCTTGACTCTGGAACTCACTCCCTAAAGACATCAGACAGGCTCCAACTCTGGCAGTCTTCAGGAGGAGCTTGAAGATGTGGCTGTTCCAGTGTGCCTTCCCAGAATAATGATCCCATAGCACTTTGTCCTCCAAAGCACTTTACCTTTCTTTAGGTCTGCTCGTATGCCCTTCCACAAACTCCACTATCACTTTTCGCCCACATCCCAGCATTATTTCCAATTTTAACTCTACATTTGGCCTTCCCACTGTTTTTAATTGTGTGTTGTCTTATTGATAATGTTGTGTATTTTATTGTCTATGTTTTTTAATTGCTTGTATTGTTGTTTATTGCTTGTATTGTTGTGTTTGGGCTCGGCCTCATGTAGGCCACACCAAGTCCCTTGGGGAGATGGTAGCGGGGTACAAATAAAGTGTTATTATTATTATTATTATTATTAGTTTGCTTCTCGGAGCATTTGCATCAACCTGGCATCTGTCCTGCCTTAACAGCTGGTCAGCTGCTATTATTTAAAAAACTGTATACAAAATGTGAACAAGAGGGGAATACTCCTTTCCTATACTTGGCCAAAAAGAAGGACTCCTGCATGATTGCTCCATAGCAATTTCTGAGATTGGTTGAGACCCTTGCAAATCATTTTTGGAAGTCCTCCTGGACTCATCACTGAGCCTGGAACCTCAGGTTGCAGCGGTGGCTAGTGGGGCGTTGCACAATTAAAACTTGTGCACCAGCTGCGCCCATACCTTGGGAAGTCAAACTTGGCCACGGTGGTCCACACTCTCATTACATTCAAGATAGACTACTGCAATGTGCTCTACATGGATTTGCCTTTGAAGACAGTTCGGAAACTTCAAATAGCCCAAGGAGAGGCAGCCAGGTTAATAACTGGGGCGGCATACAAGGAGCACACAATTCCCATGTTACGCCAGCTCCACTGGCTGCCTGTTTGCTACCGGGCATAATTCAAAGTGCTGACTTTGGCCTATAAAGCCCTAAACAGCCTCAGCCCAGTTTCAGCATTTTGAAGTTATGGCGTTATGGAAGTTATGGAACTATACGTTGACAGTCTGCAGGAAAGCAAGGTCTGGCCTAACAGGTGCTTCTCCAAAGAGGGAGAAAATGATATGGTAATATTTGGATGCATGTGGATGAATGCGTGTACATATGTGTGAATGTTGAGTGAAAATATAATTCCCTTTGTTTGTTTGTTAACTAATGTAATTGTAAATCCAATGTAGTTGCATAGAATCTGTATGTCTGTATGTCCAATATCATTCTTTGTCTAAATGTTTTCTGTAATCTGATATACCTTCTCACACTGGAAATTGCAGTAAAAAGAACCTATGCTTCAAACTCATAGAATCATAGAATCAAAGAGTTGGAAGAGACCTCATGGGCCATCCAGTCCAACCCCATTCTGCCAAGAAGCAGGAATATTGCATTCAAATCACCCCTGACAGATGGCCATCCAGCCTCTGTTTAAAAGCTACCAAAGAAGGAGCCTCCACCACACTCCGGGGCAGAGAGTTCCACTGCTGAACGGCTCTCACAGTCAGGAAGTTCTTCCTCATGTTCAGATGGAATCTCCTCTCTTGTAGTTTGAAGCCAATGTTCCGCGTCCTAGTCTCCAAGGAAGCAGAAAACAAGCTTGCTCCCTCCTCCCTGTGGCTTCCTCTCACATATTTATACATGGCTATCATATCTCCTCTCAGCCTTCTCTTCTTCAGGCTAAACATGCCCAGCTCTTTAAGCCGCTCCTCATAGGGCTTGTTCTCCAGACCCTTGATCATTTTAGTCGCTCTCCTCTGGACACATTCCAGCTTGTCAATATCTCTCTTGAATTGTGGTGCCCAGAATTGGACACAGTATTCCAGATGTGGTCTAACCAAAACAGAATAGAGGGGTAGCATTACTTCCCTAGATCTAGACACTATGCTCCTATTGATGTCATTGAAAAGTCATTTGTGACACCAATATCATTTAAGATTCAGGCAAAAGAAAAGTGCCACAGCTTCTTGTATCAGATGGAATCTTCTTCATTCACACCTTTTCTTCATTCACACCTTTTGCCATTCTGATGCTGCTTGGCTACACATCCCAGTTTTCTTCTGACATGTTGTTTTATGTTGCATGCCTTCAAGGTGTTTCCACCCTAAGGCAGACCTATAATGGGGCTCTCTTGGCAAGCAGATTTCTATGGCTGGCTGAGTGGGGATTTGAAATCTGGTTTTCCAAAATTGGAGAATGCATCCTTCTATTTAGTTGCTCATCCTATGTTCTCTGAGACCCTCTTGCTCAAGGAAAAGGAACCCATGAACCTGCAGCTGTCTTCCTGTCTGGGGCTCACATTCCAGGCCTTCCCGAGCCTCAGCTGCCTCCAGTGAAATGGGATCTGTCCCTCACCCCTGAAATGCCCATTCCCCTGGATTTTGTCTGTTTTGCTTGACGTCTGAACACTGGTCTCCTTTCCCCACACAACAACTGGTGGGGGTGAACACAGTAGGACCTGGGGGTTAAAAATAAGCCCGGGTCACAACTTGCATCTGCCTAGAAGCTGCCTCTATTGCTTTCCTGGAACTAGAAAAGGCCCAGGTATATGGACACCCAACCTGCATATAGGGTGGTAAATTTGGAACACCAGGCAAGAAAGTATGAAATTATTTCTATGGCATACCAGCCAATGTTTCATAAAAGTAAACTGGCAATTAATATCAGTTAGGCATGGGTAGGCATTGTTCTAAATGGTTCTAAAGTACTTACAAAACTGGTGCTTTGCTTCTGAAGTGTTGCTAAAGTTCTGGTGGCGAAAATTTCAGAACTCTAACAAAACTTTCAAAATTTCATTATTATTTCATTATTGGCAATTTTTATGACAGAACCAATGAGAAAATGCCATTTATAAAAGGATGATGGTGTTGGAAATAGCAACCTTCCTCAAGCCTACACTGGTAATTTGTTTGTATATGATTCTGTTTGCTTCCTGTACTGCATATGTATGTTTTGATATGCAGCTTTCCCTTTACTCTATGTTTCTTGAGGTTGTGGGAGGGGCTGCAAACCACATGAACAGATCTGGAACTGCTCAGATCTCAGACTCCATTTTAGAACACTGAGATGGCATGAGACTTCGGATTGTTAACAGCAAACTCATGTTGCTGTTGATTGTAAGAAAGATGCCCTGTGTTATCTGCACAGAGAAACTTCTTCAGATCTATCTGTAACTGGATTGACAATGTATGTACCTATATGCT